TAATGAACGATAAGTGTTAGAGTTGCCGCCCACATCAGTCACGCCTCAGTCTACGACCCCTTTTACGCGCGCGCACACACATCCTTGATAGCCCCAGCTCCAGCCGCCGCAGTCAGTTCGAGGACCTTGTTTGATGCCTCTTCTTCTTGCTGTTGACTCGTCCTGAGTGCATGTGTAAATTTAGCTAACGTTTTAAGTGCCAACTCGCTATGACAACTAAATAATTATGGCCTAGAGCGGGGCGCTGGGCACCGAGCGAAAACTAAGCTCAGTGTGATTAATGGCGCATTGCAAAAGTGTTCCGTAAACTAAAATAGTCTACGCACTTTCCACAGACAGCTGAGCGAAGTCCAAATGCTCTAAAAAAATTTAGACCTCAAAAGCTCACATCACACAAATATTTGATGTATTTGCTGGATAAACTGTGGCTCCGTATGTAATTCTCTTCTCTAGTTTCCTTGCCTGTGGTAAACAGCACAAATATCTAGAAGATATCATGATAACATTTTACTCTGCAACATAACTGTTTTAATTTGAGTTTCAGCATGTGAGAGTCTCCTTGGCTAGCTAGAAATTTGTGTGAAATTGTTTGAATTACGAGCTACGCCTAGCTTATGCTTCTACATGCTTGAATCTGAATATGCTGGCCGCCTACAATAAAATAATTGTGGAGAAATCGTAAATGATCAAAGGGTATATAATCATTTGACAAGTGCGTAACGAGCTTCCTGTTATTATGTGACTTCCTGTGGCAATGTTCTCGCCACTTCCAGCTCAGGCTTCAGCATGAAGTGCGTACTATAAATAAATGTTAATATGTCGACTCAGCTGCAAATGAACGTTTATATACACAGATATTCATACTCTATAATTATGTATCCCGCCTGGCAGCGGGAACTGCGCAAAAAACGCAACTGTAACTGTGATTAATCGCTAAAGGAGCTGCTTGTCTGTCGGCTGTCGGCTGGGTGCGGCGCAAAGAAAATAGAATTTTTGGCCAACTCAAAGGGCATTTCGCCTATTACATCAGCGCACAAAATTAGACTATCGTTGCCCGCTTCCTGCAGCGCATATGCGTATTTCATGTATTAAATTTATCACTTTAAAGGCTCGAATGCAAATGTAATAATTATAAATAAAATATGCGACTGGCAGCAATCAATTTCAAAATTCAATTACGAAATTACACAAATCACACAAAAGCAAAAAAAAAACAAATGAAATGAAATAAATTTGCATTTGAAGATGTTGAGCGGGCGCCCTGCTGGAGGCTGACTCGACAGCTGCTCATCGAAATTGAAATTTCAATTGCACGGAAAATATTAATACTGCCCGCAGCAACAAAACATAAATAAATAAAACACCAAAATTAAATGAAATTAAGTTAAAAGCGCTCTTAAGATGTCGACGCTCTATTCAAAATCTCAACTGACACCTCGTTGACAGTCGAGCTGTGGTGTGCCCTATATATATATATAAATATATATATATGTGTGTGTGTGTGCGTGTCTGTGTGGGTGTGTGTGGGTATCTGTTTCTGTGTGTGCTTCTGCTGTCACATAGAAAAACCCGTTAACAACATGCCCTACCTGGCGTATACGCAATTTGTGTTTTATCACGACTGCTCACATAAATAACTGAGATAAAAAGCAGCCCCTGCGGCTTGTACAGCTGCATTTGCTGTTTATTAAGCCATGTCCTGCCATGACTTTGACTGCATAAAGCTCTCAACTTCCAGCTACCATTTATAAAGTTAAAAACGCCTAAAGAATTGTCTAAATGTCAAGTTTCAAATAGTTTTAATTCTATTTCATATTTTTATTAATTCATTTCCTTTTATTTATTTAATTTTTATTTTATTTTTGCATATTTAATTTAGAATTCACAATTATTATTTTTTATAAAATATAATTTATATAATAAAATTCACTTTGTTGTTTAAATTAAATACATCACTCTAAGCCAAGCTAAAATCAAAAGCTTAAGCTTAAGCTGCAAGAACCATTCTTATTTTAATATCAATTCAACTCCAGCTAGATTTCTGCCAATTGGAAGCAATTTCTTAAAGTGAATTCTCATTGAATGAAGTGTTTTACGTATTGCATTTGTCCTGATGTTTGTTTGTTGGCATGGCTGTGTGTGCTTTACGCCATGCTTAACACATTATCCAAATTAAGTATACGACGTGGGCAACTTAAAGGCGTCTTTATTCATTTGTTGACCAGCCGCAAAGCGAATGACCAATTTGACCCAAATATCTGACAGCGTATACATATATGTTTATATACCGATGTATCCCTGTTTGTTTGTAAATACTTGAATGATACATTCATATCAGTCAAAAGGAGAAAAAGGAAAACTGCAGAAAGTAAAGTCTACAGCTCGAGCGGGCTGCCATTTGCTGGCATTTTGCTACCTTGCGCAGTTTTACGACTTAATGACTCTGCTGGGATTAATATGACTAATGGTACGCGCGTTGCTTTTTATTCGATACAGTTCGAGCTCTATATATAAAGAGTGTGCGGCCTTTGTGCAATTCATGTTCAAATGGCCGACTTTGACGGGCGCACACACAAATAATTATGGCTCTGGGTCGACTCTGACTTCGCTTTGTGTGCTGACATGCCATTTATATATAGCAAAAAAAAACAACAACAAAAAATATATATATAGATATATATATATACCTTTGTCTAAAGGTAGCTATACGTCTTAAGCTTGCATGACTATGGAATATCCTGTTGCTGAAGACAAACACAAAAAGTCTATCCTTTATTTGCTTGTTTCGTTCTTGTACTTTTCGGGTTTGTCTTCAAATACTAGCAAATGTGTAAATATTGCTTTTATGCGTCCTGGCCTGAGTGGCAAAGTCTTATTGAAATTAGTTTTTCCTATCAAGAATTAATTTTTAATCGAAGTAGATTCAAGTTCAAAGTCAAAACAAAAGCAATTAAATTCTTTCAATTCCGCTTTCTACAAGTTATGTTGGTTAACAAGTTGCTGCTCTTAGCTTTTTCTCTCAATACACAACTTGAAGTTGCTTAAACTTTACTTATCTAACTTTATGTTATGCAAATCGTTGGCTTCATCGCTTCGGTTGTTTAATACGTTATGTGGTCACGTCTCAAGCAGTTGCCAGAATTTATAGAATAGCAACATTTTCCTTATCTTAATAAAGAAATTAAAGTTAACTAAGCTTTGCTTGGCTTTTAGGGCACAGATAGGGACCCGAAGCGTTGCTAGCTAGACAACTTTTGGGGGCTGCTCTAATTTTAAACATCATTTAAACAGACATTAAGCAGTATATGCCCCAGCTTAGCTACAGGATATATTTATAAATATGAGGAGGCAACAGCTGGAAATTTAAACACTCGACCCACGCACACACACGCAGATGGCTGAAGAGGACGTTTGACTGTCATTAGCAAGCTGCAGCTACAGGAGCTACAGGAGGAATCACTAAACAACAAAACAGTTTATCAAAGCAACTGAACGGGCCACTTGGGCTTGCGCTCGGGTCAGCAATGTGGAGCTGCGAGCTGGTAACTGAAGGTGTTGACTCTTATCTATGGCATGCCTCAGTCAGTCAGGAAAATTAATTAACAACAACATTGACACTTGAACATTGGACTCAACCGACAGACAGTCGATCATTAAAAGTGGGCGTGGCAGCAGAGGGCAGCTGGGGCACTCGTAAAGTCAACAAGCTGCCGGGCCAGTCCTTTGGCAAGCGCTGCTCCATTTGCTACTCATGAATTGTTTTGTCATTGTTGTTGTGGCTTGTTTCTGGTTACTGTTTATTGAGTGTTCCATACACATACAGTGAGGCGCACTCGGACACTCACTCGAGGTCTGCTGACCTAGCCACAAAGCCAATTGGCCTCAAAAATAACCCGCTCTCAAGCAAACTGAGCCAGAGACGCACAAGAAGAAAGTTTCCTTTGCGGCTTGTGTGTGAAAATTGTGGAAATAAATTTCATTTGACTGTTCTTAATATATTTTTCTGTGTGTATGTGTTCTTTTCTCTCTTTCTCTTTCTCTCTCTCTCTCTCTCTCTCTCTCTCTCGCTCTCTCTCTCGCTCTGTCTCTCTGTATGTGACTTTCTGTGTTTTGGCTTTTGTGGCTTTCGACCTACGTCCCATTCTGAAATATGTTTCAATTTATTATATACATTTCTCGTGCCCACACACACACAGCCTGATTTTCTGTGCATATTTAGTAAATGTTTCAAATTCCTCAGCCGAAATGAAATATTAGAAAATATTGACAAACTTTTTTTTGCCAAAATCAAGTGCAACAACGGATTGCCATGAGACTCGGAGCGCGGAGCTCGGAGCGACGCTTGTTGTTTATTGCAGCTCATTTATTTTTATTTATGATGAATAACACAAACGTAGCTGTTCAGTGAAAAAACTGCTTGGAAACTCCAATATAGATTATTGGCAGAGAGCATAGCATGTACTTTCTGTGTGTGATGTAGCTAATGATGCAGAATAATTCAATAAAAATGCAATTATTGGCATATTTGTAGCATATTCAATTCATATATCGTATACCGACTTTTTGCCATAGCAAGAACTCTTCTCTGTTCTCTACATGATCTGAAGAGTCACTGCAATGCATGGGATCCTGATTATTTGATGTCATATTGTTATCAAATGTTTTTTTGCTTATTCATCAAAAGCTTTCTTTGAGTTAAGCGCAATCAAAGCCTTTTCAATATTCTACAACTATATTTTATAGCTAACATAGGATAAGTGGGCTTATTGTATATGCCACAGATAGGTAGGCATAGATAGTGACATATTTATGCCAAGGCTATCTAGTTGATCAGCTGACCTCATCTATGCTTTGCTTGCCTTACTCACTTCAATCACATGGGATCTATCTATCTGTAGCTGACTTTACTTTATTATATAACCGTTTTTATAGCAGCGCTTCCTGTGGCTATTCGAGTTTTTATTCAAGCTTTCATTGCCATTTTCTGTTTTCTATTGCAGCGCGTAACTTCCGGTAATTTTGCGCCGTAAAATGTTTGCCACCAATATCCGCCGGGCTGTCATCAACGTAATGAACCTGGCCAAAAGCCATTGAGGCCACAGAACGACTTCGTGTGCAGACATTTGCTCCCCTTGCATTCGTGGCAAGTCTCCTTGCAGCAGCGCCTATTTCCGCCGCATTTTGCAATTTGAATTGGCACGTGAAAGCTGTTTCCCCTACTGCATATGCGCAGGCTAATTACTATGCAACAACAACATAAGCAACAACAACAACAACTGTTAAATTCCAAGTAAAGCACAGTAAAATTCTGACTGCGACCACCATGGAGGAGGATGTTTATGCAACGCTCAACTACAGTGACAGCGACAGCGCAGTCGAAGACGGCGCCGAGGACGAGGATGGCTGGAACAGTCTGGAGATGAGCGTTGAGCAGCTGGAGCATCTGCTGCTGTGGCAGCTGCCCGAGTCGGGCAACCAGACCAGCAAACAGACATTGGCCAATTCAAGTTTAAGCAATGCAACCTCAATGCCCAGCCCAACTAGCGCCGAGCCGCCCTTCGATGCCAACAACTATTGGGCCCTGCTCGCCTTGGTGCTGGTCTTTGGCACGGCAGCGGGCAATATCCTGGTCTGTCTGGCCATTGCCTGGGAGCGACGCTTGCAGAATGTCACCAACTATTTCCTGATGTCGCTGGCCATCACGGATCTGATGGTCGCCGTGCTCGTCATGCCCCTGGGCATCCTTACCCTGGTTAAAGGTAAGTTCCAACTGCAGCACTTGTTATAAATATACGCATTATTCAATCAATTGATTCTGTTTAGCATGCACAATGGCCATTGCCTTCCATGGCCAAAATCATTCTAAGCCTTTCGAACTGCAACGTAGAAGACTTTGAAATAGTTAAGCAGCTTACTGTAAGCGATTTTAGTTTATATTAAGCGCATTTATAGACTCAGGCTACTATTATATTGAAATACAATAGATTTTATGCTAATTCCTTGTTTTGATGTTATTGAAAATGGTTTTAGATCTGTCTATTGTCTAGCTATGTACCTAGCCTTGGATCAAATTGAAGCTCATTAGTTTTATCCAATGAGAGCTTTAATTTCAACGTTAAGATTTCCACTTATTTTTCATTTTCGCACATTTCCACTTATCGTTTAACAAGAGCTCTGTGGGCTACAGCAGATTAAGGGCCTTTCCTTTTATTTTAAATTAATCTCACCTTGTACTGGCTGGCTCTTAAACTAAGCTTATTCGATTCTACTTGTATCTGGAGTATAACAATTCTCGTTAAATGCGCTTGCAATCAGCGTGGTCAGCCACAAAGGCGTAGCCAGCATAGCGCGTGTCCTTGGACATCCTTTGGCTGTTGCTGACACGCAGCGTGATGCGGCGCGGTTATAATGAAGCTGCCTGTCAATGGAAGCGAAGTCGGAGCACGCCTCGCCAATTGCATTATGTGCCAGATATTTCGATCAAAGCGACTAAACAAAAGCCAGAATAAACGCAACGAATAGCACCAGCAAAACACTACAAAACTGGGGTCCTGGGCGAATATATATACATACAGCTAGCGGGATGCAGACAATTTAATAAACGCATGAGTCCTTTGTTGAACGCAGCTTGACGAAGACAATGGCCAAACAGATGCTCGGTAAAGAAACAAACGGAAGCGTTTTTGGCTCCAGTGCAGCATAAAAATTGCATTAGACGTGGCAAAACAGAAGCAGCACTTGAAAGAGAACTGCCAGGATGAGCCTTAGCACTGAAGTGGAGAAGGCGCAGGCGGCGCAGGCGTCAGCCGCATCTGACAGTTGGCAGCAGTTAGCCCCTTTCGGCTGCATGTTGACAGTTTTGTTTGTGTGCTTTGGGAGTCGTTGCACACAGACACACACAAAGACACACCTGCAGGCGTATATGCCCACTTGGCGAATAGCAAATGGCATTGCCAAAGTGAGCATTGCAGTCGAGCGATCTTTGAGTGTGTGGGCGGAGAGGCGGGGCAAGGGTCGTGGCGTCTGCTGCTGTGCAAACAAATGGCAGTCTGTTATATCATGTGTGAAAAATACTGCATGTAGCAGCAAAAAAGGCGCACAGCTCAAGTTTCTTGACTACAAAATACCCTGGAAGTACACTAAATAAATTCTCTGCCTACAGTGCTGGCTGTAGAATATCTTAGATTAGACTAGAATATCTTAAATTCAATTTATTTGAGTGCACAAGCAGTAGCATATGACAAACGTGAGCACAGATTATATACAATTGAGTCAAATGTACCCGCTGCTAAGCATTACAAGTATTTGCTGAATAGTTTTTTCTTTGCCTGTGCAAAGGCCAAAGCATAGAAAAAGCTCTTCTGCGACAGTTTTGGCAGTCAAAACCAAAAATGCCGGTAAAATTTGAATGCTATGTCATAGAGCCATTAGGCATGGGTCGAAGCAGATAGGAAGAAGTGGATTCACGGCAAGGCAGAGGTGAAAAGTAATCATGCATATATTACTATCTATCTGCAATGGCATAGAGACGGTTCAAGCACTTGCAGGCACTTGTAAATATGCCTCAAATTGACACACAGAGCTAAAGAGAGTGATGGTGACAGGGAGAGGGGAAGGGGGAAGAGAGAGGCGTACATAAACTGTAAACATTCGCTCCACAGTTGCGCCAATTATAATTACATAATTAATTTAAATCACAAATTGGCATAAAGCGTCAGCTAATTAATAACTGTAAGTGCAATTAATGTCGCGCATAAAGATGCGCGACGTCCAACAATATTGAATATCATGCAAAATATGTAAAAGCAAATAATATACAAAAAAAAAAAAAAAAAACAAAATAAAAACAACACTGAAAAGATGTGAAAAATGTGCGCAAAGCGGCAGCCAAAATAAATTAAGTGGCAATGCCAACAGCGACGCATAATAAACACAAAGGCGGCCGCAAATCAAAAAAAAAAACACGACCACAAATAATAATAATAATAAAATGAGAGAGCAGACAGTGACAGCAGCGGCAGCAGCAACAAAGGAGACGCAAATAAAGAGCATAATTAATTGAGCGCAAATTGGCAGAGCTCTGATTTTTGCCGCCAGCCCAAAAGTAGGCAATGAAATTTTTACAAGGCAATAGGTAGAAGAAGAAGCAGCTGTAACAGAAGGCAAAGACAGAACTGTACTTAGGATTTGGATAGAAATGGAAGATAAACAGCAAAAACAACAACAACAACCACAATAGCAGCCAGAGCAGTAGAAAGCGGAATAAAAGCAAATTTATCATTTCAATGCTCGCCGTTGTTGTTGTTGTCAAAAAGCATTTTAAGCGCTTAAGCTGCGACACGCAGCGTGCCAATGTGTGAGCGAGAGAGAATGAAACTCACTGGGGACAGCTTCAAGAAAGAAACAGCAATTTTAAGAGCATGTGTCGCAGCTCAATGGAGTTTAGCTCACAAAAGTTATTCCCCAATATGAAATGTCAAGCAAATTGTGAAAGTTTCTTCAAAATTATTCAATTTATAGTGCGAACAATTCTTGTTGGATAGAATAAATATTGTTGAATATATATATTGGAAAATATAGCTTTAAGAAGACTTCGTACCGATATTGCTTTAAAACTTTTCCCATTTTCTACTTTCAAATAAAGTCACGTGCTTTTTAAGTAGATTAATGGAACACACTTGCTTGGCGATTCGCCCTAAGTTTTCCTGTTGAAATTGTGTTGAAACTGATTTATGAAACACGTTTGCTTTGATTGGGAGGCACTCAGATTCATTCATTTCATAGATAAACGAGCCGCAATGAGCCATTGCGAAATCTAATGCCAAACTTTGGCAAAGTTTTTTGCTTTGCCTAGCATTTGCCCGACTTTATCATAAATCTTTAAGCTACCTGCACAGGGTTTCTAGCTAAATTGGGGTTGGTGCCGGTGACATGTCTACGCATAGCAAATCGAGGGCACCCCAAAATGGCAGCTGTCGACTCGTGCCGAGCAGCCAATTAATTTTTGGGGCTCGCCCAGAACCACAGGACGTATACGTAATGAAGTTTTTGCTACGCTTTTTGCTCTGCTCTGCTCTGTTTAAAACACAATCATTGCGTACGGCTTAAACTAGATCTGGCAAACAGGGAGCCACACAACGGAGGCTCGAACCCTTTTTGACAATCTCTGTGGCAATTTTTTCTGCTTGTGGTCAGACAACGCCCCACGCGAGCAGCTGCTCAGCTGCCTCGCAGCCGTACATCAATCACATGGCCAGCAAACACAACCGCTTCTGTCCCCACCATGTTTTCATTTTCGGCTTAAGTCTGCTAGTTTCAAATTTTCCATTTTGCGCTTTAGTTTTTATGTCTTTAGACGATGCCATTTTGCATATGTTGCCACTCGCCGAGCGCTCTGCCCCATCCTCTGCTCATTGCTGATGCAAAGTCTTAGCTCTTAGCTTTTAGCTGTTAAGTGTTCTGAGTCCGCTTACAAATGTAGCTGTAAATCAGCCAGAAGTCCTACCAGGCAGGGCTGGCAACTCGTGCAGGCATTAAATGATTCATTCAAGCCTCGCAGGCAACCTGCAACGCCTTCTTCTGCGACTAGGACATGAATAGCAAAATTTTAAGGTAAACATTTCCATAGCGCTAAGTTCTTTGATAATTATTTACTTAAGCTTAACTTAAATCAAATAAGCTGCGTGATTGATTGACTGGCTGATTGATGATTAAGTTATAGCCTGTCATGCAATTACTAGAAATCAGCAGTTCCACAACAATTATCATTCAGAGCAGCAGTAAGCGCAATGTCAGTCCTTTCTGTGGGAAACTGGCAAGCACTTTGCTCGTTTGTCAGCTGTCTTTTACACTTTTCAGGAAATCCAATATCTCTGAGTGCAGAGTATAAATGGAGGCTAAATATAGACTTAACTCATTTGATTACGGCTGTCACACTGCGGCTTTTAAGCCTTGACTCCTTTCGTGCTCGACTATTTATAGACTCAACTTGTTGGCACTGTCGGCTCAACGTAACGATCAATTCTTGGCAATTGCGGATTCATTATAAATAAATAACAGCAAACTGGGTGGAAAATAGCGAATTGCAGCGAAATTGCTTTTGCGTATCCATTAGATTAATAATATTTGAGTTGTGTCGATAACTTGTCTAAATTGTAAATAGCCGTAAGACACGAGGCAAGTAAACATATAGATGGAGATGTCGAACAAGATGGAGGTGTGTATATATATCTATATATATAGCTTTGAGTGGAAGCGGGAGACAAACCGACAGGTAAACTGAAAAACAGCCGGCAGACATTGCAGAGCGCAAAATAAACACGCAGCAAACAAGAGACAAGTCAAGGCAGTTAGGCAACTGGCACAGAGCACGATAATGGTGCGTCGTAATAGTAGACGATGGAAGGGTAAGGGGAAGGCGGTCTTGGGCTGAGCTGTATCAGAATGCAGGACAACAAGCAGCACGTCAGCCGAAGCTCAAGCACGAGACCAAGACCAAGACCAAGACCGAGACACTGTTTGGCTTACCTTGGCAGTCAATGTCAGAGCAATTGAGCCAAGCCATGGGCATAGTCAAAGTACATACAGACACACACACACACACAGACACACATACATAGCTATATAGAAATGTCTACATGTGCTGAAGACAGTCGTCACACTCGTATTTTACTTTGCGGCAGCACCACCTACATGAATGCCAAATGACCTGGTCACACATGAGCAATGTCTTAAAAGCACTGATGGACTAACTAACTGA